GATGGTTCAACATAAGGAAAACAATCAGCGTAATCCATCATATAAATAAGAAACAGAAAAAGAACCACATAATCATATCGATTGATGCAGAAAAGGCATTTGACAAAATCCAACATCCATTCTTGATAAAAACATTCCACAAAGTAGGAATTGAAGGGAAATTCCTCAACATAATCAAGAGCATATATACAAAACCAAGAGCCTACATCACACTCAATGGAGAGAAACTGAAAGCCTTCCCCCTGAGAACAGGAACCAGACAAGGGGAAATGAAGGAAAAACAGCTATGAGGCTGCGAGCTAAGCCCTACAATATTCAATAGACTCTTGTGAACCCAGGTGGAGACCTGGTTGGCCAGCAATGTGGCAAGACCTAGGGACTCTTGGGCCCACCAGAATCAGTGACACAGCCATGGAGCACTGGAGTGGAGAATGAAGTGTCCAGTGGATAAGAAGAGAAGGCATATCCACAAAAACACCCACACTTGCAGATAATACCAATTTGACCTAGCCTCAATGACTGGATGATCAGAGCTCAACTAGAAGAAATAAGAGGAAAAAAGAGTAATCTGATACAATTTGATGAACTTGACCTACGCCTATGGATGCAGCAACTCAAAAAAAGGAACAAATCTTTACGGCAAGGATCATTCCCTCCCCCTGCATACACAGAGTTGACAGGTATAGGCAACTTGGACATTGGCTATCCAAAATGGGGTAGGCTACAAAACCAAGAAGTGACTGGCTTACAAGCTTTCAAGAGGGAACCTAGATCAGAAGGTGTGGAGGAAGATAGAATCTCCACTGAGTAGTATTCAATCTGTCTAGGCGGGACTGATTGAAGGAAAGGTGGATAGGTCTCTTGTGATACAAGGGTCAATCATTGTTACCAGGACTGATTGTGAAGATTGTATATGCAAACGTAGACATTTTGTGGCAAGGAGGGGAGTGATTAACTTTGCAGGCTAGGAGCGGAAGTCCCTGGAACCATGAAGGGAGAAGAGGAGAGAGCGGAAGCCTACCCAGAGAGGCAGTGATCCCCAAGATGGAGGCAGAGACGATGACGTGGAGAGATGGAGCAGCTGGGGACTCAGGGCCCAGGGAGGGAGAGCAGCTGTGTGCTGATGATTGGGGAGTGGAGAGGTCAGGGGGAGGGGTGGGGGGAAGAATCAGGCTTATAGGATTTACCCTTTAGTTGCTTGGTGATGCATGGAGGGGATTGTAACCATGGCAATGAAACAATATACGATAGGATGAATGTAAAACTGATGTTCTCCCATGTAAACTGTCA